CTTCTTGCTACTACTACTACTACTACTACTACCACCACCACCGGCACCACCAGCACCACCAGCACCACCACCACGACCACTACTACTACTACTACTACTACTACTACTACTACCACTACTACCACTACTACTACGACGACTACTACTACTACTCCTCCTACTCCTACTCCTACTACTACGACGACGACTGCTACTACATGACAGCGACGACAACGACGACGACGACTACTACGACGACGATGGCGACGACGACTGCTGCTGCGACATGTGTGGTATGCCTTGTCTTTCAAACTACTGGCACACCTCCGACTCTCTTGAGAAGTTACCCTCGGCACTGCGCGACAACAGAAGCTGCTTAGGCTTAGAGGTATAGATTGCAGTATATACAGGGTATACAGTTCAAGGATGTGGGGAGTATAAGGGGGTACTATGACTGATTTGTCGGACCCCTGTACTAAGATCTTGGTATCTTAGCTCTGAGGGACTTGCGGCTGGTTGCGCGACTGAGCTGCCCAGAACAAGACTAGCGAAGCTAAAGAGTATCTTCGTACGACACTGGGAAGACAGAACATGGGTAGTTGTCAAAATTATGGTCCCTTTTGGGGTACCCGAAATAATAGGTGCCGTAATATAATCAGGACCCAAAAAGGGACCATAATTTTGACAACCACCCACATGACAACAATAACAATCGTCGGACCACCCCATGCCGTATCCCCGCCTCCTTCTCGGCAGCACATGTACTTGAAGCGTCCCCACAGGCCACCTGTGGAAAACCTGGAGGAGGATACATGAGTCGGTCTCAGGTCGAGTGCCCCCCACATATTTGCTGAGTACCTCGCCTTCACGGTTTAGGGTTTAGGGTTTAGGGCTTAGGGCTTAGAGTGCAGTTTCGTAGATGCGGACATCGTTGTATACTAGCGGGGACATTTCGGGGGTTGTCTTGGGGGCAGCAGGGCTTGTGTTTGCCAACCGTGTTGTTGCCAACCCGCTTTTCTTGTGACGATCATATACTGTAAGATACTATAAAATAAGTACAAAAGTATACTATAGTTCACTGCAATACACCCTATGCAGCGACCCAGGGCGACCTTCTGACTCGGCAAAGGTTTGCATATCAGCAACCAAGATATTGAACGTAGATGTGCCTCAGACCCACTACGCATCGTAACGAGCGGCTCACACTGCAATACCATAAGTGCACGATAAATCCCAAAGCCTGAACCAACAAGACACGTGGGTGCTTTGTGGTTCCGAGTTCCTGCTGCAGGATCGCTGATACCCTGCATCACGACTATGGCCTTTCAGCCAAGCGATTTATTAGAAAAGGCTGAAATCAGAAATCGGAACCCGAAATCCCTTAATCCCAACTCTAAACTAACGGCCCCGAGGCCCCAAGAGAAGCTCTCAGCAAGCGACTCGAAGTGGACAGATTGAAGGAGATCGTGTCCAGGACAAACGATGTTCAGGCGGCTGAGAACCCCCCTCGATAAATCCTTGGCTGCGGTCTGGACAACTATGGGATGCGTTGCGGCACAGAATGTTCTCTCGCTGGCGCAACCATAAAGCCCAAAGTGCTTCAAGAGAATATGCGCGATGGTCTACAACAGCACATGCAGTAACTCCGCTTCGCGATCGAACCGCTCGCCAGAACAGCGCCAACACCAGTGGTTGAAAAGACCCACCGAGTGCCCAGAACAATCTATTGTTGTGCGTCGTTGCGGTTCTACTGCACCTTGCAATGAAACAGCACCACGCCACTTCTCTTGGTGCCAAACCACACTCTAGTTTGTGAGCGATCATGCGTGTTATTGAACCCGCAGACCGGCCTCAAAGCCCCCTGAACCCCTTATGTAGAGGCCTTAACCGTTAGAATAGGGCTTGCATGATTATATGCGGACTATGTATGCAAACCCTGATGCACTAAAGCCAGCCCTGGACCCTAAAATAAACACCCTTCAGTGTTCAGTCCCTCTATCTGAGTGCTAGTTGAGGTCGGAATAGTTGGTACATTGTTATAGCAAAGCATAGCAGCACAGCGTAGCATAGCACAGCACAGCACCGCATGGCACGGCACGGCGCAGCGCGGCACGGCATACTACCACATAGGACAAGAAAAGGATTGGATTGGATCGCATCGCATAGGATAGCGTAGTATCGTAAAATCGTGTCGTATAGTATCGTATTTACTATCGTAGAGAGTCGTCTAGTACCGTGCTACTCGACTTTCCTACTCTATCCACTGTCTTGAGGTCTTAACCCTTCAAGATCGTCTAGGAGCCTCTATGTTTCACCCGGGATTCGGTATCCGAGAACTCCTTGGCATCCTTCTGGTCGGTCCAGCCAGGATAGCACTGCCCTGCGGTCACGAAACGGGTTGGGGGGCTTTTGTAGTTTGGGGGTTTTGGAGGTCCCTAAACCCCAAACCCTAAACCGTTTAGGATTTGCGGCTTTGGTGCTTTTGCGGTGGTTGGGGGGAGTCGCGGGATGCAGTGAATGGACACGAAGAGCTCTGCAGTGTGAGTGGGTTTGAGCACGTTTGAGGGTTCAGGGAATGGAGGGTTTAAGGGTAGAAGTTTGGGTAGATCTCCAAACAAGGGTCCCTTCAAAATCCTTGTCAGAAGCATGCCGTACTAGTTTTGGGACCTAAAAAGGGACCCTAATTTAGAGAACTACCTTCTCTGGCTGGCAGCTTTCAACCAGCTACTCGACCAGTGGCTACTCTTCAGGGCTGCGCGGGTGTTTTCTGCTTCCTCGCAATGGCAGCCCGAGACATGCCAGAAGGTGTCTAGGCAACCCTGAAGCAAGAGTGGAGAAAGCAAAGTTTGCTCCAAAGCCACAACTCCAGAAAACCCCAAATTGCCCGAAATTGCTCTTGGGTAGTTCTCTAAAATAGGGTCCCTTTTTAGGTCCCCAATATAGTACGGCACCCTTATAAAAAGGACCCTAAAAGGGACCCTAATTTAGAGAACTACCCTCTTGCTGCCCAGGACACCAAGGCCCGCGGAGGCAGCGCAGATGTACTTCACGTGAAACACACCCGAGACCTCTCGAGTCGAGGCAAACCCTCGTGAAAAGGACCCGATGGGCCCTAAAACCCCTAAAGCCTACCTTAGGAACCCAAAACCTACTTTTTTGTAGGGTCCCCATAAATCCCATATTAGGGTTTATAATAAGAGCCTACAATAAAGTAGGTTTTGGGTTCTTAAGGTACACTCTAAAACCCTAAACCCTACACCCTAAGCCCAAAACCCTAAGGGTCGCTCCGTTTGCCGCAGCATGGCAGTAGTGATCGCAGCAGCACCGATGGTAGCAGTAGCCGGAGCAGCACTCCGACATCTTGAGAAGCAGCATCTACGGAGCAGTGCACAAGAATCTGCTATGTTGTGCTGGGTTTAGGGCCTAGGGATTAGGGTAACTTTTCTATGTAAACACTGATCCAAGTGACATTCATGAAGTCGACTGTCTGGAGCACTCTGCCGGGAGGGCAACCCATCTCCTCAGCCGGAAAGAGCAAGAGCTGCGCGGGTAGTGAGAGCAGGTTTGAACACCAATCTCAATGCTGTCGCCGGTCATGCGCTTATGGCAGTGAGTCTGAAACCTCATTAGGGAAAGCTTCCGTCCCGAGAAGGAGCGGAGGACAACGTCCCGGATACGAACGGCTAACGGGATGTCTCTGTATAGTGCATCGCAGTATCTGCAGATAACCCTGATGGTCCAAGTACCTCAAAATCATATACTCTCGCAGATATCAACCTCCAATCAAAATACTTGCCTAAACCCAAGTTCCTAAGTATCTTCGAGTCTTTCACAGACGAGGCACCCACTGCTCAAGGTCTTCCCACCAATTCGGCCAGCCATCCACCGAACTCCCCTGCATGGAGACACGGGGAGTAGCCCAGAAACCCTTCAGACGATGAGCAGAGTAGGGCTTTAGGGCTTTAGGGGTTTAGGGTTTAGGGTTTAGGTACTTAGTACAGCAAATTGTCTGGGATGTAAAACCCTAGTGACCCACTCTTCGGGTACTTGGACCTATGAAGTTGGGACTTGCCGTTGGCATTGGCAGGCTTCACACAACAAGCCTCTTTGCGATAACGCGGAGTTTCGTTAGAGTAGTGGTTAGATTCAAGATGATTGATGCATGCCCTGCAACGCGTGTAATGTGAAAGGTCAGCCTGAGACCGGCTCACGCACTGATTTGGGTCACCTGCCGTCGTGCGAAGCTTTCCTCGCTAATGCTACGGCAGGAGTCGGGCGTCGGTCAACTTTTTGGCGCACGCGGCGTGGGTTGCCGCTAACATCCACTACCCCCGTCTCTTTGCTCTGAAAGTTAGAACCTGAAATAATAGGGGCCTTAACAATTACAATAGGGTTTTCGGGTATATCATACTAAAACTCGAATAAGGAACCCCCAGAATACTTGGCAATCATTTGGGTCCCTATAGTATTTACCACAATACTGGGGACTGTATTGTCTTGCGAATACCAAACAGACATCAACACACACGGCTTCGGATAATACAGATCCCACCAAGCACAGCCTGAACTATGCATTCCTGACGTGTTTCCTCATACTAGGTTTAGGGTTTTTCGGTTTGGGGTTTAGGGTTCTGAACTATGGGGTTCCTGAGGTGTTTCCTCAGACTAGTCCTAAGGACCACACAGCCCAAGAGCAACAGATACAAAACTATCCATTTTAGTTCTTATCTTTAGGACACCGTGAAATCCACCGCCGGCTTAGAATGCTTGCTTTGTCCAGGCCTTCGGCCGCCTGCAGCACCAACAATCCGTCACGCCACACACGGGGTTGTCGGTATCCTTCCGGTCGTGGTTGTACCTGATTGCTTAGCAGGAAAGCGAGGCTTTCCCTCCAAACATGTGGCAACACTACTTGAAAGATCCGGCCCGGCGACTTAGTAAGTGGGTTTGAATTGGGTTTATCCTTCTTATAACAGCACATTCTGTACCTACAATCTCCTCACAAAGGCGGGGCATTTGCTGCAGAGCGCCCGCCCCCCCCCCCCCCACCATGTGTTTCTACCTCCCGGCGTTTGTGGTTGAGGGGTCCAGATCGCAGGGTTTTCTGAACACCCGTTTCCCACACGCATATACCAGTTGAAAGCGTGGTGGGCTGGTTTCCCCGGTCCGATCGGGGCATGCAGCAGTCTGGGACTGAATGACACAGCTGAGGCACGATGACAAGCAACACGCCTTTTGCAGTAGACAGACTAGTCACATGAGGAGAAGAAGATGTCTCGTGCTCAGCTGTTGCAGGGTTTTGCCAGGGTTTGCACTTAAGTTTGGGGCCTCCACATACCCACTGCAGTCGCGGCACTGGTATATGAATTCAGAACCTTCTTGCTCATTCCCGGCTTCACACCTCGGTTGACGGCCAAAACCTCATAAGCGCCAGACGTCCGTTTCCGCTGTGCTTCCTCCATCCGTCCACATGAAATCACTTCGGTAGTGTCACACTTTAACAAAGAATCCTCAGAGAGACCCCAATTTAGAGAACCTCCGCCCCTTCCAGTCGAGAGGCCTCTCTTGGTCACTGCCCTCCTTGCTCGGGTAGTCCGTACATGTCCAGGGGCTGAAGAACTGCGCAGGGCGACAACAAAGCAGTTGCGGATTCCATCCAAGGAGCGGCGATGATGCAAATCAAATATCCTTAACCTTTTCCCACGGTTTCCGAATGTTGATACTATGGTGTCCCAAAACCCAAATCTAATTCTTCCGTGGACGCCTCACTTATTCCTGCATCCAAGG